GCATGTGTGTCCTCTAAACAAGGAAGATGAGACATGCTGGCTCCAGCACAAATGTGAGAGAGAAACTGATCTTCATGGATATGAATATCTGGGAAAGGAAAAAACCAAAATAATCAGAAGCTGGTCCAGAATGGAGCAAGGAAGGGAAGGAATCATAAGACACAGGAGAAACTGACAAAAGGTAAAAACCTGAGACACCATATCCAAAAAGGATGAACTATATCAATGGTAAAGGATTTAGAAGGTGTAGCAAAAGGAGGTGAAGGAAGCAGACTGTAAAAATCGTCATCCTCTTGAACAGGATCCCCAGGGAAAGGAATATCTATCCCTGAAGCAGAAGACAGACCAGGCCACATGTATGATTACAACTCCAGACACACTATGGCCGACATCTCCTTGAAAGACAGAGAGGAGCCCAACACCACAGTAGTAATCTGTCTAGCAGGATCAATAACTTGTGGATCCTCACCAGATGAAGTAACTGTAACATGAACTTGGGAGTTCATATTGTGGAAAGGAAGGAAAAAATAATAATCAAAAGCCTTCCACAAACTAAGTAAAGACAACAGAAAAATAGTTGTCAAAAAGTGAAATATTAATCATGGCATGAGTAACAAAATTACAAGTCTGCATATGTGAGTGTCAAATTGAAAAGTGACAATTGAACATTCACTATAGAGGGAGTCAGCTGTGCTGCACTCCTATTAGTGGAGGGTTGTTGCATGCTCATTTTCATACTACAGCACAGCAATACCATGTGGAAATACACTAGTTTACACTGCATACAGTCATCATAATATCAATCTTGTTAGTAGAAATACACTTCTCATAAAATTATAACACAGTTGCAAAAAATTTATTAAGCATACATGAGTCTCTTTTTAAATGTATATATTGTTAATGATTAGTAAACGAGACTCATTATGAAGTAAATCTAAAACAATTTAAGTTGCAGGACATACTACTGTATGTAAAGAGAGAAAGTTTTCATTGCTTTTTATTCTCTAGAGGATCAATATGTAAAAAAAGGTTACAATACAAGGATAGGTTTTTTTGTCTTGAAAAAGAAGGATAAGACATGATGTTATTGGAATTTACAAGTTTATCCAGAGGGTCAACAAGATAAAGGCCTCTGATTTCTTTGTGATGTTTTCTAAAAACATCAGTTTAAGATTTGAAAAAAGCATGCTAGGTTCCAGTTAAGAACATTTTACTTATGGAATGAGATGCATCAGCAGTGGTGGTGGTGGTCAGCACTTTGACAGTTTTAGAGTGGAATTAGTAGTATTTTGAAAAATAAACAGTGAATAAATAATTAATTCTTCTTAAGGATGAGCATGCAAGGATTCCCTCGAAATACCAAACCAGTGCCAATATGTTATGATATGTAGTTTAGTAGGATGAACTTGAAAAGATGGTCATTTTTGTAATGAGGGAACTGAAACTGCACACAAGTACTCTAAATTAGACCCCAACTGGTTCTTATTTTAGAATGGTTGCTATGCCCCTTTTCTTTTAAATTCAAAGTTCCTTTAAAGTCCCAGAACTCTATTTTGCTTTTTCACCACAGATAGATTTATACTTAAATCTTTCTTTTTTTTCTGCAACACTATTTTTTCTCTTAAATTCCCCAAATGAATAATAATAAGCTTCTAAATACCAAAAATAATTTCCCACATGCTGTTCCAGTCAAGATCCGTTTGATTAAGGCGAGCATTTTAGTATTATTAGCAAATTTAGGTATATAACTTTCCTAGAAGCTATATAAATTCTTAACATATATAATGAATAGTAATAGTAAAAAAAATAGGCCCATGAGAGACCTCAAAGTCACATTCTCACCATACAAAATTGCTTATTTACCACAACTTTTTACTTTCTGCCAACAAGCTAATTTTCCATTTCATAGCTTTCCACATATTGTATAAGCAGTGAATTTACTATTATTAAATCTCTTTAGTGAGACATTATTAATGCTTTCTGAAAGTGAGAAAGTAAAACATCAACAAAAAACAAACAAACAGAAGAAGCCTATTAAACAATGTGTTATATCCTTGATTTGAGAAGATTTCCAATTTCAAAAATCACTAGGAAGGTCTATCTACAAAGTTCAAATTTCACTGTTAGGAGTTTTTTCATAAAACCACAAAACACCCATCAACTAAATATCAGAGTTATGCAATTGAGAGCACTTGACTTCAAGTTATATATGGGATTCAAGCAATCACATCATCATTAACACACAGTCACAATACTGATTTCAAATTCTTTACAAGGCACCATTTGATATGCTAGCACAGGAGATGCATAATGGAGATTTAGCTTAAGTTTATTAAATCATGAACTAAAACTTTCTTTTTGACATCACTCAAAACCTACTTTGAGTAATTAAAAATAACAGTATCATTAAAAGGATGTATTCACAGACAAGGAGATGTGTGTTTAAACCTAACTGTCACCTAGAGTTTTCTTTAAACTTAAGCAATAAATTTCTTCTTTACAATCACCATTTGTTGTTTATGAATTTAATTGCCTTTGCTATCAGCAAAGCTACATTGGTTCTACTAAAAGAAAACTGATAATGCAAGTAAAAGAACATGCTAACCTAAGATCCTCTATTAAGTCTAGACAAGAATTTGATGATGTTCTGTTGTCCAATCTAACTTGTTTAAGATCTTAGCAAGGTCAAACAATGAACAGAGCTTCCAAATAAAAAGCTTGCTCATTCACAAGCTGAAGCCTGAGATCATTATTAAAGAAACTGCTAGTAAATTGCCTTTACTATTATAAAAATATTGTCATTTGTTGAGGACAATTTCATTATGGATTATAGATATTGAGAAGGTTTAATCTGATGATAAACTTAGTAGAAGTCCAAAAGCTCATGGTTGTAAAAGTGGAAGTTATACATTTTTATCTGTAGTCTTTAAAATTTTATTCTTATAAGAAAGTAGGAGATTTTTGAATGTGATAGAAAATTTTATTTTTTTAAGGTTTATCTTAGTAGTGACAAGTAATAGCTTAATGTATGAAATAATTTTAAGTTTTAAAATTTATAGTATATCTGAGATTTCCAGAGAGGAAGTCAATAGCACTAAACACTAAACAGGTACTAACTAATTTTCTAAAAGTAAATTACACATTATTTTTCTTAATGAATGTAAATATTTAAAATTTCCCCATTTTCTTAACTATAAAATTACTTTTCCTCAGTTTCAACACTCTAGATGGTATAGTAAAACTCAAACTGAATTAATTTTGAGATTATACAAAAAAAGGTATTAAAATTGTCAAGATTATCCACACAAGCATGTAATTTACTGGATAACCAAGTAGGACATTTGGACTTTGTACACTTAAAAAACTCTACTGAATCACAAAATAATACAATTTGTATAAAGGTTAGAGAAAAACAGCTGGTTAAGTTAAACAGTTTGGTAAAATTCATTTACAGAACAACCCGATAATGTTATTTCTAATTACTCAATAAGAAAATTTAATTAGCTACTTGTTTGAGATTACCTTAAGTGAGCCAGGTACTTCTGGAAAAAACTGAATTCCCTCTTATACCTAATAACATCATACATGAGATCTGTTTATATACTAGCCTTAATGTATAGTCCATATTCTATTTTCCCTAAAAACCCACATCACAGAAACAGTTCTTGCTTCTCTTATTCCCCTCTCACATTACAGAAGTTTCTAGCCAACCAGCCAAACACTTCCAATTACCTTCTTTTTCATCCAGAATTCTTGTCACATAGCATACCCTTCCCAAGTTTGTTAGAAACTTCTAGAATAACATAATAGCAATAATAAATAGTAACCACCAATTCCATTCTTTTCTAGAAAGTTCTACTGACTGACTGACTGCTCTAGAATGATGTAAGTGTATTTGCGCTCCTCTAATATGATTATTCTTCATATAATCACTTGCGAATGAAGCAGAATATTACACAAAAATTACCTAAGCATTTCAAAAAGATATTTGAAAAATTAACTCTTAAAAATATGTTTTCTGAACTAAGAGCTTGAAAAATCTTAATATGTTACAATACCGAAAAGTGTTGAAGCAATATATATAGTACAATTTAAAATTTTGAAAAGATGAATTTCTTTTATAAGAGAAATACTGGTTATATTGTGGAGAAACAAAGAGCTTTAGGTATGATTACTGATGCATAACTAAATCCTTCAGCTGAGGCTTGGTTATGGTGAAACAAATTATAATAATACAATTTAACAATGCATCTATGCAAATTTTGGATATTCAAGTAATATTTTTCTAACCATTTATAAAATACATGTGAAACCTGAATTAGAGATGTGTTCAATTTGGGACCTCTTTTAACAGGAAGAATATATTGAAAGATTAGAAAACATGGTTTAAAAAATGGAGTTGTATAGAAAATTTTAGACTTTTTTTTTCCAGTGTAGAACCACAGATGAATTACTTCTTATGCCTAATTGGTGGTTGTACAAACTGCAAAAATTTACTTAGTTTGGGAATACTAAATTTGATATTATGGAAAAATACCTTGTTATTTGGTAAAATTATTTCTATAGTATTATTAGTTTTAAGTGTATTTATTGAACAGGTTTCCTAATGATGTGCTATGAAGATAGTTTGAATTTTACAAACTACTGTTGTATGACAGAATGATTATAAATTGCAAGTTTTTATTTTTACCATGATTGTTTCAATTTATGCAGGATTAATTTCTGTAAATAATTTCTGGCTTCTTTATTACTATTCATTTTTTATTCTGACGATGTTAAATACTTTACAATTCCACAGTCATTAGAATAATTTTAAATTCATTAGTAGAACTAGGTAGTGCTTGCAGTAGTAGAATACTAGAAATACATTACTCTATACTCATAAAAATTAAAATGCCAACAACGTAGTAGCATTAACAAAATATTTCATTATTTGGTTTAGTGGGGTCTTTTTAAGTTTATTAATAATTAATAAATACAAATGTATAAGCCTACATTACCTAGATTTTAAATTTTGACTGGCTGGTTAATATCTAATGATAGATGGTGAGATGCCCTCGTTCGACAGGATCAGTGAATGCCTTGTCAAATATCACTTTCTAAAAGTTCTTTTGGACCTATCTGTTATCATTTGACGTTAGGCCTAATGTTCATAAAATAAGAGGTGGAAGTAAAAAAATCTTCGTTTTAGATAATATTAGAAGGCTATATTAACAAGTCTAATACATTATTCAGGATCTAAAATTATATTTGTTTTTTTTTCACTTCTCAGTTTAACGTCCAGTCCGATGAATATTTTCTAGACATATTCCACATACAAGGAGAATCGTCTTTCAAAGGCTTAGATTGTTAATCATAATTTTATATTTATTTAGAATAACACTTAAATCATCACAAGAGGTCACTAGTTAACAACTCAGTACTGTCAGTTAGTTTTACACTAGAGATATTTCAATTTATACGAAATGAATATAACATATATAAAAATTATCATTTTTTTATCTGAAAAATATTTAAAATACCAGAACTTCTATTAAGAAAAAATTAATAAATAATAATATTTAACTATCATATCTTGGATAAACCAAACGTTACAGTATTTATGTAGATGTCCACTAAAGGATTAAAAATAACTTTTAAGATGAATCTATTCTAAAATATTTTTCGCTGCTCTTGTTTGAATTATAACGACATGGATAGAATTTCCTCAGAAACTTTACAGAGGTGTCACAATCAATACTCATAATGAAAGATTCTGATTTGGAGTTTTCACCGAACTACTTTAAAATCTTGCTGAAAATAAATCAATTGTATTTATATGTAGAATTATACAGAATTCCGCATTTACAACATAGCTTATTTGCATTTATTGAAAATAATACTAATAAGTTATTTATATTAACATGTAGTATTTAGCATAATGATTAACGCAATCAAAATCAGTTTCTACGTTAGGCTATTCGTGCAAATCAACAACTTAAGTTTATAGGGGAAATCCACAACAAAGGCTCAAACCTCAGTGATGTTGTATTTTAGGAATATAACATGGGTTTCTTTCTTTTTGTAGTATTATTATATATTCTGAAATTATTCTTTGTTCTCAATATATGCAGATTTTCACGTGGTCAAGAAAGCCGTTCAGTTGACCTAGTTTCAAGTTACCTTAATTTGTTCCTTCGTCATTTTAGAAGGAACTAATACCTATTACCATCCGTGGAGAGCATTGCCTACAGCCAATTTGTATCAGGAAATTGATAGCAGTGTCCTTCAATGCTGCTTTGGGCAATATCTAGAGGTTACGGCCACAGCTATGTGTAAAGAGAAGGACCAATTATCGGGTATCATATGTCACCCTTGTTAATTGCTAGGTTTCTTTGGATTTAAAAGTCTTGCATTTAGTCAATCTTGTTGACAGACACTTTTGAGGACGAGAGTTTTTGAGACGATTATTCCTGTTAAGCGAAACTACCTACGGCTTCCTACCCGCTGACGCCGTTAATCCTTGACGGGCTCCCAACGTCTTTTCCCCACGCCAAATTGTAGTGTTGCGTCATCGAGATCACGTGACAATTCTCACGCTATCTTGTTTCTAGAACTATCATGTACTTTGGCGAATG